TGGGGTGCGTTGGAAAAATATTGAAATAGTAAGGGCACCTTGAACCTAAAAAGTTTGGGAACCACTGGGTTAGCCAATAACAAGCAGTTTTTCAAACAAGCAGTATAAAATGGCGTGCACTTACATTGCACGCGTGCTTCCAGCAGTAAACAGCATAACTACTATTAAAGGGACACTGCAGGCACCCAGATCAGTTCAGCTCATTGAAGTGGTCGAGGTGCAAACTCCCATCACCCTTAACCCTGAGCATGTAATTACTTGCTAGGGTTATTATTATTATTGCCATTTATAGGGCTAACAGATTCCGTAGCGCTTTACAATATTATAAGAGGGGGGATTTAACTATAAATAGGACAAGAGAACTTACAGGAATGATAGGTTGAAGAGGACCCTGCTCAAACACTCTTACAGTCTTTAGAGTTAACTTCTCCTCTAGAAGGACTCTAAAAGTCCTCTAAAGAAAGACTCTAAAAGTCGTCTAAACACTAGGAAGTCCCTCTAGTGTTAGACAGCCACTAGAGGGACTTCCGAGTGTTTAGACAACTTTTGGTCACTTAAACAACGCTGGACGTCCTCACGCTCTGCATGAGGACTTCCAGTGTCACCGGAATCCCCATAAGAATAATGCTTTCCTATGGGTAAATCCTAATGCGAGGGTGGTCATAGATCTCCCCTGCCGACATCAGCCGCAGCGTGGGTGGAGCTGAGCTGGCGCCGAGGGACATCGTGGCAGTGACAGGCAAGTGATAGAAGGGGGGGGCCTTCACAAGTTTGTTTTCCTGGCACTATAGTTTTCCCTTTAAGCGGTAGAAACATGTCACTGATCTGCAATGGCGGCTCTAGACTTGGCGAGGCCTTAGGCGAAACTCATACATGAGGCCCCCACTAACAGGGCCGGCGCGTCCATAAGGCGGCACAGGCGGCCGCCTTAGGGCGCACCGGCTCTGGGGGCGCAAAATTCCAGTGACTGGCAGGAGGGAAGTGCTCCCTCCTGCCAGGTCACCTCCTGGATCCCTGGCGCGGCGTGCGGCTGAATTAGATTCCGAGGTGGCGAGGGAGCTCTGATCTCTCTGATCTGCTCCCTCGCAGGCTGTTTACTGATGACGTCATATTCCGGCTCCCGCGGCATCAGTAAACAGCCTGCGAGGGAGCACATCAGAGAGATCAGAGCTCCCTCGCCAACTCGGAATCCAATTCAGCCGCATGCCTCCCAGCAGCCCTACTGGACCACCAATGAGAGACCCACGCCAGCTCTCCAGGTAGGGAGGCTGGGTGGGAAATTTAAATTTAATTTAGATTATTAATTTCTATGTGTGTGTGTACATGTGAGTATGTGTGTCTGTCAGTGTGTGAGTGAGTGTGTGTGTCTGTCAATGTGTATGTGCATGTGAGTATGTGTGTCTGTCAGTGTGTGAGTGTGTGTGTCTGTCAGTGTGTATGTGCATGTGAGTATGTGTGTCTGTCAGTGTGTGTGTGAGTATGTGAGTATGTGTGTCTGTCAGTGTGTGTGTGCATGTGAGTATGTGTGTCTGTCAGTGTGTGAGTGAGTGTGTGTGTCTGTCAATGTGTATGTGCATGTGAGTATGTGTGTCTGTCAGTGTGTGTGTGAGTGTGTGTGTCTGTCAGTGTGTGTGTGTATGTGAGTATGTGTGTCTGTCAGTGTGTGAGTGAGTGTGTGTCAGTGTGTGTGTGTATGTGAGTATGTGTGTCTGTCAGTGTGTGTGTGCATGTGAGTATGTGTGTCTGTCAGTGTGTGTGTGAGTATGTGTGTGTGGTTCTGTCAGTGTGTGTGAGTGAGTGTGTCTGTCAGTATGTGTATGTGTGCATGTGAGTACGTGTGTCTGTCAGTGTCTGTGAGTTTGTGTGTGTGTGTGTCAGTGTGTGTTTTTCAATGAGTCTTGTGTGTCTGTCAGTGTGCGTGTGAGTGTCTGTCAATGAATGAGTGTGTCAGATAAGTGAGTCTGGCTGTCAGAGATGTCTGTGTGTTTGTCATTGAGTGTGTGTGACTGTCAGTGTTTATACACCCCTGACTGTAGCGTGGCCAAGCGGAGTGTACCGTGGTACAGGAACTTCTGTTTCCTGTTTCTGGCAGAACTTACAGGAAAAGCTCACTGTACCGGGATTCGCTCCGCTCAGCCACGCTACAAAAAAAGGTAGGAGGCACACCAGGAATGGGAGGGGACCACTATGGGGGTGGGTGGCGCACCAAGGGACAGGGAGAGGAGGGGAGAGATACCCTAAGGTACAGGAAAAGGAGGGAGGGGGGGAGAGGAATACTAAGCGACAGCCAACAGATGGGGGAGGGGAGAGGAACACTAAGGGACAGGGAAAGGAGGCGGGAAGGGAAAGGAACAGTAAGGGTCAGAGAAGGGAGGGGACCATTAAGGGACGGGGAGAGGGGCCGGATGTGAAAGAAACACACAGCGGGGCTTGAGAAGGAAAGAGACACACACAAAGGAGCTGGGAAGAATAAAAGACACAAATGGGCTGGGAGAAAAGGAGTCACACAAAGGGGCTGGGAGGAGTAAGACACAAAATGTGGGAGGATGTAAGAGTCATACAAAGAGGAGAGATAGGAGACACACAAAGGCAAAAATAGGAGATAAAATACACTAAAGGGAGTCAGATATTTAAAAGACGGGATAAGAAACACAAAAGGGAGGTTAAGAGGCACATGGGTGAAGATGTTTTTGGGGGGGCGGAAAAATGCATCTTCGCCTATATACCCAAAATTCTTTGCACCGGCCCTGCCCACTAACACCATTATTGGAAAAAAAACAGCAGTTGACTTGTGTGTGTATAAGAAGCTGTAGATATATTGAAGGGCGGGCTTGCAGTACTGGATATAGAGAATTAGTCTTTGTATACGTCGTTGCATTGTCTACCTGTGTGTGCCTGAGAGTGTGTGTCTGGCAGTGAGTATCTTTGTATATGTATGCATGTTTCTCTGAGCATGTGTATGTTTGTGTTACTGCCTGTGTCCTTTGGCATTAAGTTCATGGCGAAGCTATGTTTTATGACAGTGTGTAGAATGACTGCCTTCAGGGGGTGACAGGGTGAGTAAAGGAGTAACTGTGGCAGGGTGATTGTAAAAAGAGCAGGAGGGTGCCAGAGTGCGGAGAGTGGTGCCCGTGTGTTTAGAGGGAGAGATAGTGTGTATGGAGGGGGGGTGACAGTGTGTGCGGAGAGAGGTGACAGAGTGTGTGGGGGTGACATAGTGTGAGGGGGTGGCATAGTGTGAGGGGGTGGCATAGTAAGAAGGGGTGACAGTGTGAGAGGGTTACATTAGTGTTAGGGGGGTGACAGAGTAAGAGGGGGTGACAGAGTAAAAGGGAAGAGACAGGGGGGAGACCTAGTGTGAGGGAGGGTGACATAGTGTAGGGGGGGTGACAGAGTGAGAGGAGGTGACAGTATTAGTGGGTGACAGTGTGAGGTGGGGTGATGGTGTGTGGGGAGTGACAGGGTGGGGAGTCAAAGGGTGGGTGACACAGTAAGAGGTGGGGTGATAGAGTGAGGGGGTGACAGGTGAGGTAGCAGGGTGAGAGGGGGTGACAGGTGGGGTGGCAGGGTGAGTGACAGGGTCAAATGTGGGGTGAGAGGGGAGGCAGGGTGAGGGGGTGACAGGTGGGGTGACAGTGTGACGTGGGGTGACAGTGTGTGGGGAGTGACAGGGTGAGGTGAGAGTAAGGGGGGTGACAGTGTGGGAGTCACAGGGTGGGTGACAGTAAGAGGTGGGGTGACAGGGTGAGAGGTGGGGTGGCAGGGTGAGATGTGGGGTGACTGGGTGAGAAGGGGTGGCAGGGTGAGGGGGTGACAGGTGGGGTGGCAGGCTGAGAGGGGGTGACAGGGTGAGGGGGTGGCAGAGTGAGAGGGAGTGAGGGATGACAGGTGGGGTGGAAGGGGGATGACAGAATGAGAGGTGGGGTGACAGGGTGA